AGGGAGCTTCTTGTGCGGAGTCGTTTCCTTCAACTCAAAGACATGGATGCCCAACGTCTTTCTTTTTCAATCTTGAGAGATCTGTGGCTCAAAAAAGCTGCTGACTTGTCTGAAACTGCCAGGAGGTCGAATAACAGCTGATCCAAAGGAAATGAGCAGTCACGCCATGCAGTTCTATGAGGATCTGTTTGGAGCAGAGAGTTGCAGCCAGGAGTGTCGCAGGGAGCTCCTGGAGGGTCTCCCTCAGCTCAGTGTGGAGGAGAGGTCTCTTCTGGAAGGGGAGCTGTCTCTGGAGGAGCTCACTGCTGCTGTCACTCAGATGGCAACAGGAAGAGCACCTGGAATAGATGGGTTGTCCACAGACTTTTTTAAGAGGTTCTGGAATATCCTTGGGTCTGACCTGCATAGTGTTTTAATGGAGTGTTGCAGGACCGGGTCTCTTCCTGGTTCTTGTAAGAGAGCAGTTCTTTCCTTGCTCCCCAAGAAAGGTGACCTGGCATTGTTAAAAAACTGGAGGCCGGTTGCTTTGCTTTGTGCGGACTACAAGATCCTCTCCAGAGCTTTATCGAACAGACTAAAGGACGTTCTGGGAAGTGTGGTCCATAAAGACCAGAGTTACTGTGTTCCAGACCGGACAATCATGGATAATGTTTTTCTTATCAGAGATGTCATTGATGTGTGTAAAATCTATAATCTAAATGTTGGCATTGTGTCTCTGGATCAAGAGAAGGCGTTTGACAGGGTGGATCACTCGTATTTGTTTTCTGCACTGAGGTCTTTTGGTTTTGGGGATGGTTTTGTGTCATTAGTTGGTTTGTTGTATCAGGATGCACAGTGTTTGGTGAAGATGGGGGCGGGGTTGAGTCGGCCAATCCCTGTACGGCGAGGGATCAGACAAGTTGTCCCATCTCCGGCCAGCTGTACAGCTTGGCTATTGAGCCCTTGCTGTGCAGGTTGAGGGACCGGCTCAGCGGGCTTTCTTTGCCCGCGCCTGTAGCATTGAATGTCCCCCTACAATTTCTGCCTATGCTGATGATGTAAACATCTTCATCTCCAATCAGGGGGACGTTCGGTGTCTGCGGGACACCCTGTCCCTGTATGAAAGGGCAACAGCTGCACGGGTGAACTGGGAAAAAAGTGGTGCCTTACTGGTGGGAGAGTGGAGGGACCAGGCAGTGCCCAGTCTGCCGGTGGACTTGAGTGGGGAGGGAGGGGTTGAAGGTGTTGGGGTTTATTTGGGTACCGAGGGCTTTAAAAGTAAAAACTGGGAGGGAGTTAGGAGAAAGTGTGCGCTCGGTTGTCTAAATGGAAATGGTTGCTACCCCAGTTGTCGTATAGGGGAAGAGTTCTGGTGGTCAATAACTTGGTTGCCTCGACTCTCTGGCACAGACTTGTGGCTTTGACACCTCCAAGAGGGCTGGTGGAGGACATTCAAAGGGCCATCCTGGACTTCTTCTGGTCAGGCAAACACTGGGTCCAGGCGGCAGTCCTCTACCTGCCGTGGCTGAAGGGGGACATGGACTTATAGACATTCAGTCAAAAATTGCCTCATTCAGACTCCAGACTGCACAGAGACTCCTTTTCACTTGTGGTCCCAGCTGGATGGACATCGCTCGACTGCTGCTGAGGAGAGCTGGACGGCTGGGGTACACTAAGCAGCTCTTTCTGTTAAAGCTTGAGGAGGTGGATCTCACTGGATTAACATCCTTTTATATGTCTGTAATGCAGGCATGGAAAATGTACACATTCAAAAGGGAAAAAACTGAGAGTCTGGGAATGTGGATCTTTGAGGAACCGTTATTTTTTAATGATTTCATAAGGACTCCAACTTTGCAGTCAGCCAGTCTCCGGGCCAGTTTCAGAGAGGCAGGCTGCACAAAACTGGGTCACCTGGTAAGACTGACCCTGGACGCCCTCAAAGAAAGGACCAATATCACCTCCAGCCGGGTGGTTGAAAGAGTGGTGGAGGAAGTCTTTGCTGCACTTCCAGTAAAACTTGTGACATTTCTAAACATTGAGAATCTGTGTGAGCAGTGGAGTGAAGAGGGCGAATACAGCTTCCCATCTTTGTCTGTTACCCCAGATGTCGGGGAGTGGCAGGAAAGAGGAGGTGGACTGCTGTCCTTTAGTACTCCTGTTCTGGGAAAGTTCCAGGATGCAGGGAAAAAGGCACTCTATCAGTCCTGTGTTAAGGTCCTACATCTTCGTGGTCTGTCGGGAGTGAAAGAGTCGAGGTGGATCGAGTTTTTTGGCCCGGAGGTTTCCCCGAAAGGCAGCTGGCGGTCCCTGTACAAGCTGCCTGTTGAGAAGAGAACAGCAGATCTCCAGTGGAGAGTTGTGCATGGGGTTATAGCCACGAACAGATACAGAGCGCACATTGATCCAGGGGTGGGAGAGGAGTGTTTGTTTTGTTCACTAACTGAAACTTTGTCTCATCTGTTTGTTGAGTGTCCCAGGCTCTCACTCTTGTTTGTCCTTATGAAAAGCTTGTTTGAAGCTCTCGGGGAGGATTTCTCTTATGCAGTGTTTGTTTTTGGGCCAAAGTATTCTGCAAAGAAAAAGACTGTACATACACTGATGAACTTTTTATCTGGCTCGGCTAAGTTGGCCATTTGGCTTACACGCAAGAACCGAGCTCAGGGTACTGGCTGTGTGGAACCGGTGCTGGTTCTGGAGGGACTTTTGAAGGCCAGACTGAAGGTAGAATTTGCCTATTATCAAATGATGGACAATGTGCAAGACTTTAATAGTGTATGGGCTGTGGAAGAAGCTTTGTGCTCTGTGGGTGGGGATGGAGAGCTGATTATTCATTTTTGATGCAGTAAATGTTGTTTTTGTTGATGTTGTGATTTTTGTTGCACTTGTTTTATTTTTTATTTATTTATTTATTTCCTTCTCTTGATCTGAGTGATGATGTGACAGTGTTATAATTTTCTCCAGGTAGTGGTAAAATAAAAGGTATTTTGAAAACCAAACCTCTCTCCTCTCTCTCTCTCCCCTCTCTCTTCTCTCTTTCTCTCCTCTCTCCTCTCTCCTCTCTCCTCTCTCCTCTCCTCCCCCCTTCTCTCCTCTTCTCTTCTCTCCTCTCCTCTCTCCTCTCTCCTCTCCCCCTCTTCTCTTCTCTCCTCTTCTCTCCTCTTCTCTCCTCTCTCCTCTCTCCTCTCTCCTCTCTCCTCTCCTCTCCTTTGGTTTTGTTTAATTACTGACTTTGACCTCCTCTGGTCTTTGCAGTGTTGAAATGTATGCATCGACATGTGAGCCCCCCGTCCTCTCATGTATGGGAGACATTGATTAAATCAACACCTCTCCCTCCCTCCAGGTGTCCCAGGAGTGAAGCCTGAGCGGTATGAGGAGGGTTTGAAAGTCAAGCACTGCGCCCTCTCCCTGGTGGGTGAGCCAATCATGTATCCTGAAATCAACACCTTCATCCGCCTCCTCCACTCCCACAATATCTCCAGTTTCCTGGTCACCAACGCACAGTTCCCACAGGAAATCAGGTAAGGGCAAAACAAACACACACAGCCTGCAGGTTTTTACTATTTACTTCTTGCTGCTCCCAAAATATCCAGCCAATCTGTTTTGGCTTATTACCCCATGTTTTTGTTGTATATTTGTATTTCCTGCCTCAGCAAGCTGTTGTCTTTGAAGTCTGGTGGAATAAATTAGAAAGCAGGGAGCATGAGTGTGTCTTCTTAATATTGTTTACAAAGGATCAAAGGTTTCAGTTGGCACAATCACAAGAGCTGTGTGTCCTCTTTTAACGAGGAGGAAGCAGTAAGTGATGTCGAACAGAGTTGTTTGTCGTCATCAAAAGATACAAAATCAGCAATAAATGATCAAATATTGCCTCATTTCTGGACGGTTTCAGACGTTACAGAGGCGGGCTTGTCTAAACCTCTACAAGAACTGTAGAGGGCATTAAGGACCAGTGATGTTTGAATTTAGTTCTGAAACATGCTGTGACTCTCTGACCAGCTGCTGTCAACAAACAAACATCTAGTGAACCAAAGTGATCGTGAAATATCTTTTAAAAAAAACAAAAAAGAGCATTTACCACAAAGTTAAAGAAAAAGATGCCATTTTACAAACTCTGTTGATCCCCCAGTGACTTTTCAACGCTCCCCTCTGTTATTGAGAGACATGCTGCTGCACACACAGAAAGGACATGCAGTAATGGAGAGATGTCAGAAGGTGGCGGCTGCACAGAGACGGGCGCCCTGTGCAGTTTGGTGCTTTGGTGCCTTGATCAAGGGCTACAGCGGCCATGCCCAGGAGGATAACTGGCCCCTTTTGTAGCAACCAATTCAATTCCATTATTGGTCTGTACTGGGACATGAACCAGTGACCCAAGTCCCCACTGATGGAGCTACACCTGCCCCAGCTCCAGTGATTCTGCATCCTCTTATTTCAGCTGTCTTCAAGTTAACTTCCCTGCCCGGTCTGCTGTGACCTGCTGGGATGTAATATTGGGTTAAAAATCAAAGCGTATATGAGCTGAGAGTTCAGGTAACCCATTCTTTGAGTTCATTGAACCAGTTCTTACAAACACAGGCCTTTCCCTTACCTGATGCATTTACACCAACTCAATGACACATTAATGAAAGACACTATGACCTCAGGTTGCTTTATGTGCACACGATTGTTTAGTTTCACACTCAAACTCACATACACCTTCCTTTGCTACATGGAATGTCAAAGTTTTGTGTCTGAGGAGAAAACCCTGGACTGACTGACTGATGTTCTTCCAGACACAGGAGCTTCTACTCAGCACTCTGTCAGCTGTAGCTGAATCCACCTCTCTGACATCTTTGTGTAAAGAGATAAAAGAAAGAAAACACTCTTTCATCCCATGTACTGTAGTGCACAGAACTACTGTGTGAGGTGTTAGAGGAACTTGTCAAAAGTGTTTTCAGGGTCGACGCTGTCATGCACTGCACAAACCTGTCTCTTGTTTTATGCATGTTGTTAGTTTACAGAGGTTTGTTTTTGCTTCTTTTTTTATATATATATATTTATCTCTTTTGGTTGTAGAAAACTTTTGTAACAGCTAAAGTTTATTTTCAAAAGTTGAAAATGAAACAGTATGTTCTTTCATTTTATTCTACCAGTTCACTTCCACATAGACAAAAAAATGATGTCTGACTTCCGACATTTGGAGCTCTTGTGAAATATTTCTGTACAGAAACTATGAAAACGGAGCCGATTTGTTTGCGACAAAACAACAATTTTCTGGTATATGGCTGACCGAAAATCAGGGGATTTCTCACTCTGAATTACATCAATTTGGACGAGCACAGGTGCACCAATTTCCGCGTGCAATTCCAGTCATGCTCGTCTTCCGAGATTGCTTTTCTCATTCTCTGAAGCAGTTTGGCAGCTGCTGAGCACTTCATTTAATACACCAGTAAGGTTTGACAAAACATGCCCACAAGTGGATGTCAAGAACATTCTTTTTTCGAAGTTAAAATCGTCTCAAGGAAAAAATTCTTCCTTCAAATATTTATTGTGCTGTAAAGGAGGAACGGCGTCCATAAGACATCTGAAGGAGAACATTTGAATGACATGTTTTGAGCTCTATGACGATATGATATTATGATAATTGTTGGGGCTTGAGCATCTGCATTGTAAGTCGTAGTTTGATCAGGGTCTGGTAATGCAATGGATCCTCTTCCTCACCATTCGTTTTGATGAGCAAATCAATTCAGACTCTGCTCGCACCGTTTGGATGTTATACTGTCCCAGCTTTTAATGCTGAGAGTAGGAGGAGGGTTCATCAGGAAGACCAGTCTCATCCAGGTCAAAGTGATCCTAGTTAGCAGAGGCTCTGTACATTTGACCTTCCTGAATAGAACAGCCTAAGACATCCTAGCGATCAGGTGGTGCCCCGTTACACATTGCAGACGAGGTATAACTGAGACGTTAATATTCCAAACTTCAACTGGCACTATGTGAGAAAGTTTCTGTCCAGATGTCTACCTCAGTTTCTGTCACTCTACATGTCCTTTGACCTCGAATCTGGAGCTGCCACTCTGTCCAGCAGCTTTGCAGCCCGTCATCAGGACACTTGAGTCTGACATAGCGGGTATGTCAGCAAACCAGCCTGTCACAGTCTGTCTTCAATTATGATCCTGCAGGTTTCAGGCGAGGACAGCAGGTGTCAGACTTATTTTTCTCCCCCTGTCTGCCAGAATCACCTGGTCAGAGTCAGAGATGAGCTGTTGCTGTATTTTTCTAGTCCCTGGTCTGTGAACTTCCTCTACAGAGAGTCAACAGAAACAGGCAGAATTAGTCTCATTGCTTAGTCAGAATATCGGTTATTTCTGCCTCTCTTTGTTTACGTTATTGCTTCCATCCATTTAAAGACACATGAGAGGGTTATACACTCTTTGTTTCAGTGATGTACTTATTCCAACTCGTCTGGTTCTGTTTATTATTATTCTGGTTCGTTCCCCTGCTCTTACAGATTGTGCCAGAGGGCAACTACTTGCAAATAAGTTAATGTCTTTCCTAATTTAATATTGATGAGAAGTAATCCTAGTTTTTCACAGCTTCCTTCTTCTCCACCCCCCAACCCCCTCATTTTCCCTCCATCTGCCCATGCCTTGGATTTGTTACATTTAGCACAGCTACATAACATGTTTGCTTTACTGTTGGTGTATTTATGTATCTACTTTAAATCATGGTGGGAGAGGAAAGGTATAAAGAGTGGAGATAAGCCCAGATCTATTTTCTGCCCGAGTGTTTCTGTCTCGTCTCAGACTGAAATAGTTCAACGATCGGCTTCAGAAAACTGACAGAATTTCAATAATGTGAATCTAATAGTATAAGGGAGGGGAAAGGTTCTCACCTATTTTCATTTAAAAGTATTTTTTTCTGTTCTTTGTTTTTTCAAATACTCTTTCTGGATCGCCCTCTATCCCCCTCATCCCTAACACAGTCCCATCAGATGTTCATTATGAGTCTGGTTCTACCTCCTAAAGGATGCTTTTTCTTACCACTTTTACTTTGTTGAGTGTTGCTTAGTGCTCCTGATGGATTCATGTTTAGTCTTTGTAGTTAACATAACAATGAGTTAGGTCTTTTACCTGCTCGTTTGTGCTCACATGTCTTGAGTTCACACATTTCTTGTGAATTTATTTATAAATAAAGAATGATAGGTTACTAGTTTTGTTCTAACTCTCTCATCAGATCATTCTTATACTTCTCTCCATGTTTTCTGTCGCTCTCAGGACTCTGGTGCCGGTCACTCAGCTGTATGTCAGTGTGGATGCGAGCACTAAAGACAGCCTGAAGAAGATCGACCGTCCACTGTTCAAAGACTTCTGGCCTCGCTTCCTGGACAGCCTCCGGGCGCTGGGGGAGAAGGTAGGCAGAGCTGGTTTTGTTTGTTTTGTGTTGTTTGTCTGAGCTTGTGAACAAAATGTTGAACTGTACTACAGTGTAAGGAGAGAAGTGAGAATGTGTTACTGTACAGTTTCACAAACAAACAAACACACCATGGAGATTGAGGGCCATAAAAACAGGACAAGATGTTCATGAAAAGAAATTCAAGAAATCGTGCCTGCTTACAAGAACAATATTTACAAATGAGATTATGCTGCTTTAACATTCTGCATGAAAATATAAAAACATCATCTCTAGCGTAAAGGATTTGTAAGTGCTCTTCTACTTTGATTCAAAGTTACGTTTACATGCTGTGTGGATCGATAATTGTAGTCCAAAAGTTATCACACAGCTGAACCCTGTAGACCGACTGAGGCCTCAGAGAGCTCTTATCGGTGAGTCCTCCACATTGACCAAATTCTTTAGGATGGCAGCAAGATGCCAATAAACTCAAAGAAGCCCTTCACACCTTCATCACTTTATTAAAGAGGAGAAAGAGATCTCATGATTGATTCCTGGGACTTTAGCAGCATTGCTTTATCAGAGTTGATTATCCACTGCCGTCCTGTGTAGATGAAAACATCCAGACGTGTACATTTCTATTAAGCCTCAGCCCTGTAGGAGTTTAAAAAAAAAAAAATGGATCCAATAACCTTGCACACATTTTTTTTCCCCGACATTCCTGAGCAGGGGAAGATTATTATCACAGCCTGGCTGCATCAAGCCACAAGAGTGTAAATGGATTCTATCTGTTAGTGCTTCCTTAAAGCCAAAGGGAGGAAATGGAGGGGCTTCCTATGAAACAACCATCAGAAAGCTGTGAGCTGTGAAGTCTCTCACAGCCAGCCCCCTCCCCCCCCTCATTACACCTGTCTGTTATTGGTCCACTTCCTCTTGTTTAATGCTTTAGCAGACAATGGACACTTTCATTAGCACCCCGCTGGAGATGTTGTTCACTGCATAGCTCGAGATCATGGATCACTGCGCTCTGATTGCTTCTACATCACCATATTCACCACAGGCTGATAAGTAAATGTCAGTGTGAGGTCACTGCGGGGGGGGGAGGGGGAATATTAAAAAATTGTGAAGTCAAGTTGCTCATTTTGTCTCGGCACTGTGTGAAGTCTGTGTCCGTTTTCATGACATTCAATAATCATAGATCCTCTCCTGTTGCGCTCATCCTCATCCAGCCTGAGTAGACGCAGAGGCTGCACCGCATGCTGTTTAGCATTCTGTTCACTATCGGATCATTTATGTAAAACCTACATTCAAACAACTGATGGTAATAGGCATCGAGCATAACTGATATATGCTGCTGGTAATTATGTGCATGTTGCCATTACAAAAGTCCAGATGGACCACAGATTGACATTTTGGCCCGCTGGCACATTCACTGCACACTCCCTAGAATCTCATTATTTTGAACGCTGCATCACAGTCTGGCAGTCAGGAGGAGCCATCAATCTACAGAATTACTCTTGAACTCTGTATGAATGATCTCTGGGGATACACTGGGCTCAAAGGTACAGCCGGTTTTTCCCCCTAATCAGAAGATTGGCAGTTGATCCCCGACTGCTGCATTCTGCATTATAGAAAGAAACGAATGACCCAAAAACCCCATGGGTGTGTGATTTCAAAGATCCTGCAGCCTGCCACTTTGCACAGCAGCGTCTGCGGTCAGTGTGTGAATGTGTGTGTGAGGGTGGCAGTATTGTAAAGCCCTTTGGTTGGAGAGTACACTTGAATAGTGTTGTATGAATGCAGTCCAGTTACCATCTGTTGTGCACTCTCTTGTCCATGTCACACACGTTGGAGACACACTTAGAATGACAGCTCATGTCTTTATGAACACGTCAGCACAGGTTTCAGTCATATTCTCTTCAGAAGCATTGAGCACTTTCTTTTCTCCAAACTGGACTTCTGTGGATATTAAGTTGTCAAAATGTTCAGCAGATTCCTTTTCATTATACAGTGTTTAAAACAATCTCCATTATGTAAATGATCTATGGGGTTAAAATGCAGATCATAGATCAAGATTCATATTTTAAACTCAAAGCTGCCACTCGCCACCAGAGGGGGGCGCTGTCTAAAGTGCACAAAACATTTCAGTACAGAAACATTGCAGACTTTTTGTGCTACCACTATATTAGGGGGGGCAGGCCGACCCCCCCCCCCCCAACGGCCCTCCCCGCCCCCCCTTGAAGGTCAAGTTATAAAACAAAAAGAGTCATTTCAGGATACCTTTCCGATGGAATAGGACAGCTGTCATTAAAAGTTACGCATGAACACCAAGATTCCTTCAAGTGTTTGTGTCGGCGTCCGTCTGCTAAAGCTGTGAACCGAGAGGAAACACTAAGTTGTTTTGCATAAAACAGGATATGACCCAACATTGAGTGCCTGGGACTTAAATTCAGTTGCCATGGTTTCAAGTCAGGTATCAATATTGGATTTTTATTAAGACTTAGTTTAAAATTCTGGTATCGTGACAATTATTTTCCTGTTGTTAGTGTGTTTGAAGAGTAATTATTTCAGTGTTTTGCCTTTGAGCTGTCAGTCGTCTGTAGCTCATTGAGACAGAAAAAAAAATGTTATTGTTAAAAACTTGGTCATTCTGTTTCTGTATGTCAGAGTAGTGCACAGTTATTGATTTGAGTGTTGGGTTACTGTTGATAAATGAAGATAAAATGGAAGAAGGCACAAAGTGTTTGTTTATTCATTGCAGCAGATGTTTTCCCCCCCGACATATTCAGGCATGGAGTTTTTACTTCTTATTCTATGTGATTTTTATGTTTTTTATTATATTACAGATTGTCCAAACCGATGTTGAGTCATTAAATATGTATGAATTTTATCAGACATTTATTCCATAAAAGCTTGTGTTGTTATTTATTATTGTCAGCTAGTTTGATTTGATTTAGAGGGTTTTAAGTGCGCTGGTGTTTTTGCACATGTGCACTTTGGTGTAATTTTACTTTTTCTGTCTGCAACTCTCAAGTTTCCAAAAATAACCTCCCTGTCTCCCCCTGTGTCCCTGCCTCAGCTCTGGATTCCTAAGTCTACATTTCATGGTGGGCTCTATCTCCATCCTTCCCGAGCTCTTATCCCTCCTCTATGTTCTCAGGCTGACAGCCTTCCTCGTCTCCTCCACCTGGCCTCGCTGTCAGTGTGCTCAGGGATGGATAGAGTTGTGCCTCAGTGTCAGATTTGGAATAAAGCCAGCTTGAAATACCTCACCTTCCTACTTCTTCCGGCCAATTATCCCCTTCCCCGCTGGGCTGAAAGGACCCCGTGTTATAGATAACCTTCCAGTGAGATAGTGAGGGAGGGAGGAAACAAGGCGAATAGTGCTCTTGTCTTCTCCCATTGCCATTTACCTGTTTCTCCTCTCCTCTCACCTTCGCTCACCTCCTCACATGTCTTTGTTCCTGTCCAGCACGGTCTCAGTAATCCTCTCCTTCTGCTTTAGAGGCATCAACAATAGGCTGGATCTGGAACACAGAACTGTGAGGAACGCTTCAAAATGAAAGATACACTGATGGCCAGATCAGGGTTTCTTTACATACTCTATATTTGTTATATGCCAAACATAGTCCAGCCTAATGTCAACATTTATAGCACAAACAACTCAAAAGAAGCCCACATTCAAATGTGATCACCCAGTAAAAAGCCTGTGTGGACCTATAGTGAAGCGCCTCTCCTCGACTGTTGAACAAAATGCAAAGTGAGTTTCTACATCCCCAAGCAAAGCCTCACAAAACAAATCAAATTCAAACAATATAAACAAGACTCAGAGGCACGGTGTGCATGTGAATGGTTGCCTTTTTATTTATTCCTTTCATTTTAATGACCTCACAAAGTTTGCTCACGCAGCCCTACCTGAAGGTGCTCACTGCTCTTTATATTCTTTGTCCACTACACATTATTCTTTCTCTGACAATATGTGTGGACTCGTGTAGTTTCCAGATGTTATATGGAACATTTTCTAATGTACTCTAATCAAACAAAGGGTTTTAAGTAGTTAAAAATGTGTTTGACGGTTGATACCATCCCCTGATCCTCATCATTCAGTTCGGCTCGACGAATCCTGAACAGATGCAGGTGTGTTTACCACAGTTGTGTGAGCGATAGAAAACATGCAGACCTTCACCTCACAGATCTGTTCTAATCAGAGATGCAGAAGGAGGTTGACAGGACATCTGTGAGACATGCTGTGA